TGTTTCCGAGGAGTGGCTGGTGAGTTTGAGCTGCTGACCTTGTCATTCTAAGCAACCTTACAGTCCAGTGCTTATCCTGTAGCACCATGCCCGGACTCCACAAGTATAGAAGTTAGGATTTATAAGACAGCTTTTTTTTTTTTTGATACAATAGAATCCATAGTATGTGTGTAATAACTTGACTTCTGAAAGACCCCACACTCTTGCCCAACAACATGGCCCTTCTGTGGAGTTTAATGTCAGTCATTCCAAATAGAAGCAAGATATTCACCAAATGTTCACATTCTCTCTCTCCAGCCTGTGGGACGTCAGAGGCCTCAGCCTACCTGGATGAGCTGCGTTTGGCTGTGGCTTGGAACCGTGTGGACATTGCCCAGAGTGAACTCTTCAGGGGGGACATTCAGTGGCGGGTGCGGGGCTGGGGCCTTGGGTGGAGGGGTGGGCCTAGGTTTGGGGTCCCTGTAAGGGAGATGTGCTCTTTTCCCTCTCTGACTTGTAATACCTGGACATTATGACTGTCCAGCCATCCTTTAAATGTTCACGCATCTGATTGTCCCCATCTTGTGCCTTCTCTCTCCATCCATCCATCCACCCACCATTCACCTGTCCATCCATACGTCACTCATAGCTCTGAACCCTCATCGCCTTTCCTTGGCCTCTCAGCTCGCCTAGGCTTCTGTCTGTCTCTGCTCATCTTTTCCTTCTTTCATCTGGTCCCGCAGTCCTTCCACCTTGAGGCCTCCCTCCTGGATGCCCTCCTGAATGACCGGCCCGAGTTTGTTCGCCTGCTCATCTCGCGCGGCCTCAGCCTGGGCCACTTTCTGACTCCAGAGCGCATGACCCAACTGTACAGTGTGACACCCCCCAACTCGGTGGTCCGCCACCTTCTGGACCAGGCATCCCATGGTGCGGGCGGGGGGACCAAAACCGCAGCCCCTAAAGGCTCTGCGGAGGCCCCACCTCCAGACGTAGGGTACGTGCTACGGCTGCTGCTGGGGGAAATGTGTGCGCCAAGGTACCACACCGCGAGTGCCGGGGATCCCCACGCTGGCCATGGCTGCCCGGAGAGTGTAAGGGACTGGGTCCCTCTGGGGCTGCCCTGGAAGGAACCAAGGGGCGGGACGAAATAAGTAGGAGTGGGCGTGGCTATATGTTGTGGGTGTGGTTGAACCAGGGGGCGGACAAACAACAACAAAAAAAATCACTATGAGTGGGCGTGGCTATATGTTGTGGGTGTGGTTGAACCAAGGGACTGGCCGACGAAGGTGGTGGAGCTGAGCCAGGCAGTGAAGAGGTGGACGCAGCTCTAACCATTCATTTCCTACTTGTAGACGTGCCTGCTCTCAGTTAGAGCGACCTCGGACCTCAGACTGGATGCTGTCCTTGGTCAGGCTCCCTGGAGTGACCTACTGCTCTGGGCACTCTTGTTGAACAGGGCTCAGATGGCCCTTTACTTCTGGGAGATGGTGAGTACTGACCTTTACGTCCGTTGCCTTTACTTTATGCTTACCAGACTCTAACCTCTTTACATCTGACTCCCATCTCGTCCTCAACTTCTGATATATTACTCCAACTGGTAGCTTAGTGGTTACGAGTCAGGCTGCTAACCTCAACGTCAGCAGTTCGAAACTACCGGCTGTTCCGCGGGAGAAAGATGAGGCTTTCTGCTCCCTTGAAGATTTATAGCCTCGGAAGCCCTATGCGGGTCGCTGAGTCGGAACCGACTTCACAGCACATCACCACCACCATTTCTTACCTTCCTTCTTCTTTCCCCTCTTCTTCTTCCTCCTGCTCCTTTTTCTTTTCTTTATTTTTGCTTAATGCAATGCATCTTTTAATTT